AGGGTGGTGAAACACTGGCCCAGGTTGCCCAGAGAGGTGGTGGATGCCCCGTCCCTGGACACATTCCAGGTCAGGTTGGACGGGGCTCTGAGCAACCTGATCTAGTTGAAGATGTCCCTGCCCACGGCAGGGGGGTTGGACGAGGTGACCTTTAGAGGTCCCTTCCCACCCAAACCATCCTGCGATTCTGTGAGTCAGCAGCGACCTCCCCTCCGCTCCAGCAGGATCGGGGACGGACTGCTGACGCTGCCAGACTGCAGCGCCCGTTCTGACTGGCGCCGTTCTCAGGAAAAACGAGAGAAAGCAGCCCTGCTTCCCCGACAGGCAGCAGGCAGCTGCCCGCACTCACCTGCCGATGATGTGAGCATCTCCCGTCTCCACCGTCAGCTGGGAGTTTATTGCTTCAAAACTTGAGTTCTCCAACAGCTTCATTGTCTCGGCTTCTGGAGCGATTCCCTGCGCAACAGCTGCTGCAAAGTGTGCGTATCCTGCAAAGAAAGAGATCCTCGCAGCCGGGGAAGGAGAAGCCCGCGGTCGCACGACGCACGGCGGCTGCCCAGAGAGGTGGTGGATGCCCCGTCCCTGGACACATTCCAGGTCAGGTTGGACGGGGCTCTGAGCAACCTGATCTAGTTGAAGATGTCCCTGCCCACGGCAGGGGGGTTGGACGAGGTGACCTTTAGAGGTCCCTTCCCACCCAAACCATCCTGCGATTCTGTGAGTCAGCAGCGACCTCCCCTCCGCTCCAGCAGGATCGGGGACGGACTGCTGACGCTGCCAGACTGCAGCGCCCGTTCTGACTGGCGCCGTTCTCAGGAAAAACGAGAGAAAGCAGCCCTGCTTCCCCGACAGGCAGCAGGCAGCTGCCCGCACTCACCTGCCGATGATGTGAGCATCTCCCGTCTCCACCGTCAGCTGGGAGTTTATTGCTTCAAAACTTGAGTTCTCCAACAGCTTCATTGTCTCGGCTTCTGGAGCGATTCCCTGCGCAACAGCTGCTGCAAAGTGTGCGTATCCTGCAAAGAAAGAGATCCTCGCAGCCGGGGAAGGAGAAGCCCGCGGTCGCACGACGACGCACGGCTGGGCTGCAGTTCGGCCAGCCCTGTCAGGACCTCGGACTCGGTGATCTTTAGGGCCTTTTCCAACCTAAATGATTCTACGCCCAGAAGGCAGCGCAGGGGCAAGTCAGGAAGCCGACACCTCTTCTGGGCAGGGGGAAAAAAAGAGCGACGACAGCCCCAGATCGGCACCCGCGCCTCCCGTCTGATCCCGTCCTACGCGCCGCTGCGTCGCTTTGCCTACGTGAGAGCGAGCTCACCCGCAGCACTCGCGGCGCCCACCGTGTGCCGGCGGTCGTGCCCGCATCACCTCCACCGGCTTCGCCAACGCTCCGGCAGCGTGCTCTGCCAGGGAGTTCCCAAGCTCCTCTCCTCACTTCTGAAGGTCACCGGCCTTTTTTGGCCAGGCTGTTCTCCCTCAAAGCTGGGGAAGAGCGTGCGGCGCCCGCTCTGCCGTGGGCTGGAGGCGACACGGACGCCCCGGCCAAGCCCCAGGG